AAGCCTCCGCCGTCTGCGTTTCCACGAGCTTTCTGCTCCTCCTGCCGTCGCCCCTGCCCTGGGCGTGCCACCCCAGCTTCCCAGCCTGCCCCTTCCTAAAGCCCTCGTGTGCTGGAGGGGCGCCTACCAGCACCCTGCACCCGGGGTGTGGACCAAACCCCAGTGTTTTATAGTAGGTGCCTTTGTGCCGATCTGAACAGGGACGTTTCTGGCCCTACCAGCCCTCTGCTGTGTCTGCAGCCCACCTTATAACTCAACACCACCACATGCACACACTCCTGAAGAGGAGTACCTGGCTTTCCATCTTCATTTCACCATTACACATAGCTTTGATTTCTTCCCACAGTTGTTATAAAGGCCAGTTTTGGAGCGGGGAGGATTCAATACCTTCTTACCTTGCCATGCTAACCATCGTCACTATACTTAATGGCTGTACAAAAAGAAAAACCATCCTGCTTAAGTGAACCTTCAGAACTGGTCTAGGTAGTTCTTGTCTGCTTTCTCCTAAAGATGGATAGTGCTAAAATTTCCTATCTTCTCTGTTACCCCAACTCTTATGAAGCGACTTTTCCCCTTAAGTACTTGGCAGCATATTACTACATGAATCTGACTTGAGTGTGAATCTGGAATGTTTAAGTTGATGCTGTAGTAAGAATTGGATCAAATTTCAAGCACCTTATTTGTAAAGCAGACCGGGAATTTCTCAGTCCCAAAAGCCAAACTGTTAATGAATTACATAATACTGTGCTCCCTATGCTACTATCAAAAACAATCAAACAAAAACCTCAGAACTCCCAAACCGTCTTTTTTCCTACTGCAGATAGCTGTTGTCTCTCTGGCAGCTTTTTTTTTTTTTTTTGTACAGCTGTTTCAAACAGTGGTTAAGTTTAACAGCCAAAGTTTGGGCTCTTGACACTCTGATAGTGGTGGAAGAAGGGAGGTGATATAACTAGTCTAGATGTTGCCTCTTGGACAGAGGCAGATGCTGCTTGAAATTATCGGGGGATTTTGAACACCTTGACTCTAAAGCACCAGCAATCTTGCTGTCATGTACCAAGAGGTTTTACACAATGGCTAATGCCTTTTTGAGTATGTTAATATGTAAATCAATAGAGAAACATACTTACATTTTAATTAATTAGGTTTGAAATTTAGCATTCTCTTGAGTGCTTGTTGGAGGTAGTGCAGAGAAGTCTGGGGGAGGTCATTTATTTGCAAGGTTTTAATAGCATCTGATAATGGCTATGAAGTTAGTATTTTTTTACTGAGAAATCAGGTTCTGAGCAACACTTGTGTGCCAGGTAATAGAATCTGAAGAAATAATTGCTGTGATGGGCATACTGTTTTAAGTTTATACTAACAGAATTCCACGTGGTTTGTTTATTACTCTAGGGAAGAACCTGGAATCCCATGCAGCAGGTCTTATGCGTTATTGTATTGCATGGGGAAACTGCTTCCTTCTTTAGAATGTTAATAGATTACAAACTGGACTGGTCTGGCAACATCCCCTGTGTCTTTCAGTTTGTGGACGTGATAATGGCTCTTTTACCAAGAACTCATGTATTCCCATCAATGGTCCCCTCCTGTATCAGTCTGCTGTTTTGGGAGGCAAACGGCCAAAGCCGCTTCCTCTAAAATTGTCAGATATACCAAATAGCAACAGAAGATATTTTAATTTATTTTTATTGTGACTGCATCATCTTTACCTGTAGTGGTTGGGTTTTTTAAACAAAGTTTATGCCCTTGTCACCTACCCTAAACTAAAGTAGGAATTTGGGGATTCAAATAGTTACTGTATACAGGCTCTCAAAGAGATTGGTCTTTGTTTATAGAATGTTTTGAAAATATGCCTGGGGAGCGAAATTTCTGAACTTTTATAGCATCATAAGGTGTTTGACAGAAATTAGAAATACTTTATTAACTTGATAGTATGGTGTCTCACTAGACCTGTAGTTCAGAGGCCTCGTGACCCTTGAATGTTGCTGTGAGCTCAGTCTGTAAAATAGAATGAGACTATGAGGTGGTTGAAATACAAATTCTATGATACAACAGCATTTTAGTCTGAATATTTTGGGATCAAGTCAAAAGATTTTGGCTTGAGAGTGTTTAAGGTGTTTTTTTTTGATGTGGATGGCTTCTTGAGAAAAATGTTTTCTGTTCCCCCACCCCTCAAGTCCTTTGTCAACCATCTCCTTCCCCCTCAATTTTGAGAGCAAACACTCTTCAAAAACTGTTTATTATGAGCCACAACAGAAAACAAAAATAGATGTCCATATGCATCCTCTTTAGTTGTTTATTTTCTAGGTATGTACTTCAGTTGCAGACACTGAACTGTCTTGTACTGTACAGACATGTCTGGAAAAGTATCTGAATTGTTCTCATATTTTATCGTGTAAGTTTTTGTAGCCTGTTGAAACAGAACGTTCTTTTCAGTTTCAGTAATTAAAGGAATTGTTGCTTGTGTTGTTTAGTTGTTGTATATGGTATACAAATCTTATTTTGCCTTAAATGTGTTTTAAAAACTCAGCTTTTATAGTTAGACGAATCTAGTTACTGTCATTACTTTCATTATTGTCATCTTGCAAAGTAAATCTTAGTCATAACGTTTCTGTGCTGGTAAAGGAAAATTCTCCCCGGTTTCGCTATGTTTCAGTTCTGTATCTGTGCATGCTTGCTTTTTTTATCTAGATGTTGGAGACATACGTGGTTTTGTACAGCAAAGGTGAAAACTGTATATAGTTTTGTGATAAAAGTAATGAAGACTTGCTTTCAGTATGCTTTTGTGTGTTTAAATTTTTCAGATGATCACTGAAGATTTTGTTTGCTCTTTACATGGCAAAGGCGTAGGGATAAGGGAGAGGCTGGTCGAAGGTCAGGGTCGTAGCCTGGGACTTGGACAAACTGGCAGTTTCCTTCTCCTGCCGCAGATTTTGGGTGTACTGTTGGGCAAGTCACCTTTATGCTCTAGCTGTAAATTTGGTTTAATAGTAGTGTTCAGCTTTGTGAGGCTAGAGATACTGAAGCAATTGACAAAATAATAGAGGTGTATAAGTTTCTGAAGTGGGAAACTATTTTGTTCTGCATCTCCTGGATTTGCCTGACATCTTGCTTCCCGGTATTTGGTAGGTGGTGCTTTAACTTTTACTGTATGGACTCTTGCTCAGTAGCATGGGAGAAGAAGAAGGACTACATCAAACACAATTACTGGTATGTAATTTTTTGCTTCTTAAATGAAACCATAATCTGGTATTTTGTGCAGCCTCAGGAACAGAATGACAAAACTGTTTTCATGATGTAAGATACTAATTGGAAGTAAGTGTATAGAAAAAAATCCAGTGAATGCTCTGAAAGGTTTACCTGTAAGAATACATAAACATTTTTCCTCTGCTTCTATGCACCCACCTGTGTGTGATGTTGTTGTTATTGAGGTTTTCAGGTTTTCTGCTGTGTTCTGTTCTTCTGTTGGTGTGCCTTAGAAGGCATTTAAATGCCAAATAGTAGCTGTATGGAAACCAGGTTAACATTCAATTGAAGTTTTAGTTATTCTTAACAAGAATATAAGTTGAAATACAAGAAGCTTCAGACTCTGCATGGAGCGTTTAATGTTTGATGACATAATCATACATGGTTGATTAGTAGTCCCAAAAGATGTCTCTAGAGATCAAGTTTTACATGGGGGTCATGTGTTTAGAAATTACTGTACATACAACTTTTTAGGAAATATTAAATGGGATATGCTCCAACAGGAAGTTTGCAAGACTATCTAAAAACCTGGAAAGGGCACTATCAAGCAAAAACTGGGTTGTATTTAATGGGAATAATGGAAATATGTTAGGTTACAGGAGAAAACTTTAAAAGAAACTTCCAAAGCATTTAATATATTGGTAATCCATGGATAGCTCTTAAGAAGTCTATGAAAAATGACCATAATAGCAAGTTCATATATTCTGTATTGTAGTTCCTGCATATTGTGATTTCTAAAGAGTTTTGTAGCTTCCGTGAAAATCTTTAAGAGTTGGCAAATCCAAAAAAAAGGTTATTTCATGGATATATACAGCAACGTAAGAACTGTGGTACAGAGCCAGACCAAATGTTTATCTAGCTACTGTGCTATCCCCAGGTTTTCAGAGTAGATAAGTATGTAATGCATTTTGAAAGGAGCAATGTTTTGCAGTTTGGTGGATTTTTTAATGACTCTGAAAAAGCTGTGAGAGCTCTCTGAAAATTTGTGAAACATACTGTAGCAACCAGAAGAGCAAGGCAGGGGTTAGGGCTTACCAAGGGTAAGGGAAAATGATACAGGAAGGCGCTGCAATAGTATTTTGGTTTTATCAGCTTTTAGTTGAAAACCTTCGTTGTGTTTGGGGTCACTGCATTAAAAAAAACATGCAAATATTTGGCACACAGGAATTCTAAGGATGGAAGACTTAGAAGGGACGTAACAAAGGTGCATAAATGTAAAGATCAGGTACTACCTTTCATTTGCAGCCTAATTTTTATAAGACTAAAAGAAGTGAGATCTTCTGCATTTAAAAACCCAAAAAGTTACTTTGTGTTTCAAGAGATGAGCTGCACTGTTGTCAAAATTAGTGCAATTCAGAAGCAGATCTGCAGGCTAGTGCTTGAAAGTCATACCTTGGAAAATTCAGCAAGTGATTTTTAGATGTAAATAATGAGAAGCCTGCATCCACCCTGCTTATTTTTAGCTGGTGAACCTAAGATAGGAATACAGGAATTTTGCTTTCTTAGTCAACTGGGGTAATAAGTACAGAAGCTCATGCAGAGGGTGACTGTGCCTGTCCTCGCTGAACTTGCGCAATTCGTGTTGGAATTACATAGTTAATTTACTCACCTGAGTAAGGGAACCGGAAGGACTGCTTTAGGCACCTGAGTTGAATGTCTCAAGTTATATGGAACAAATCTAGATCTTGCTCTCCCTGTAGCCGAAATAAGCTAACCTTTCCATAAGCTGCTTGTGTTATTTTTTTCATGTTACTGTTAGGTATGTTGATGTTCTGGAGGGGTCAAATCTTTTAAAGATGGTGTGCCAGGTTGTATTTTTATTTCCAAAATTAGAGGTTAAGCATGCCAGTAGAAACTCGGGAGGAGCGAGGAGAAACTGCCTCTCCAATAGGTGAAATACAGCCGTTGAGATGTTTGCTTCTGTGCGAAGCAGCGGCTCCTGACTTCCATCAAGTGTGGAACTTAATGGGAGCCAGGAGCTGGGAGCCCCTGCCTCTCTCCGATGCCATGACTTGTGGACCTGCTCACCCCTGGTTCCCGAGTGCCGTCTTTGGGACCCAGTCCGTATGTTCCTGACCCTTGTTGTACCACACTGGCCATTCTATAACCTGGTATGACAATTCTGCTGTTTCTATCTTAAAAGAATTTTCTGTTTAAAGTTTTCTGTTTTGTTTTTTAGTCTTTTTTTTTTTCACCTCCCTCTTGAGCTGTTTACATTGTACAAGAATTTTTTATTTTATTTTTCTTTAACAGGACACAATGTTTGTGCGAGGATTAAAGAGAAAATGTTTTGATGGTGAAGAAGATATTGAAGGAACTCTGGCTGGTATTAAAGCTATTCCTTCCTATAATCTTCAGCGGCAGTCACTTTTAGACATGTCCTTGGTTAAACTTCAGCTGTGTCATATGCTGGTTGAACCTAACCTTTGTCGTTCGGTACTTATAGCCAACACGGTACGGCAGATCCAAGAGGAAATGACTCAAGATGGGACTTGGCAGATGATAAATACACAGAGTACAGGGCAGGCATCCCTGGATCGTCTTGTTTCAACAGATATCCTCTGTCGTTCATCTAGGGAACAAGCTGAGGGAAAGCCTGTTCCAGGCTATAGTACTTTCAATAAAGACTTTGAGGGTAACCAGGCACAAGATAGTTCAGAAACTATGTCAACAGCCTCTTCAGTGCAAGCTCCAAGAAACCTGCAGAGCAATGTGTGGGAAATGGAGAATCCACAGGAAAATAAAGGAAATTTTCAAAAATCACTAGATCAAATATTTGAGACACTGGAGAATAAAAGTCCTAATTCTGTTGAAGATCTGTTTTCAGAAGTTGACAATTCCTACTATGATCTTGATACTATGTTAACAGGCATGATGAGCAACACAAAAATGGGACACTGTGATGGGCTTGAAACGTTTTCTTCTCCAACAACTACAGCTTCTAACTCTAATTGTAAATCTGATCTTAATGAGCTCGATCATATTGTAGAAATCCTTGTTGAATCCTGAAACTCCTCATGTAGGAGATAAAGATCTGTTAATAGGAAGAAAAGACTCGAGAAAGCTATTTCCACAGTTTGTTCTATCAAATCTGCACGTGTATTTTACAAATATCTATATATTATATAGATATATATATTAAAAAGCACTTCATATTGCAAAAGAGTGTTAACTCTTAAAGTTAACCTGCAACTTGTAGTGTAATAATCCAATTTATTGTCCATTGAACTGTAAGTACATACGGTAAATGTTTCTAAGTTTGGGGTCCAAGGCTCTTGAAATTGGGTTCCTTTTACCAAATTTGTTCTAGCCTTGGATGGAGGATATACTCATTGAGAGGGATTATCTAATCTTTCTTATACTTCTCCCAGTAAAAATGGTAATAAACATAGAGAGAGGTTGGATAACTGGTTTCCTATTTTCCTCCGATTTCCACTTTGTTACACCACAAAACTCCTACCACTTCTGCTGCTTCTGTTCTAAGTCGCTACATGGCTCTTAAAGAGCAGTATGCAATAGTTCCTGTTATCCTAGCTAGCTTATTCTGGGTTTTGCTACAATTTTTACTTCAAAAATAGTTTAAAAGTGTTTATTGGTGTTTAGATTTTTCCAGGTATTTTCCTAAAATATATTTTTACTACAGATGTTATGTCAGCTGCTAACTTAGTAACTTTTGATTATATCTGCAGTTGATGTATTTTTTGAAAGATTTTCAAAAAGGGATGGTTTTTTACTGTGAGCTACCCAATGTAGTTCAGCAAAGTGTATGTAAATGTAAATATACAATTTTATACTTTACATTAAAATGTAAGAGCTGTTTTCATGATTCTGTTTTATAGAGTAGTACTTTACTAAGTTGAGAATTGTACAATTACACTTTCATGCCCCGTATAGCGTCATTAGAGGAAGAGCTTTGATCCAGCTAGATACAATTACATTTAATTCATTTGAGACCATATTTTTTTTTAACTACATTATGTAGGTTTTTATTTATATGTATTTATATGTAAATGTCATCAAGTGAATTGTTTATCACTGAAGTCTACCATCAAATATTTGTTTATATGGGATAACTATCTTGCACTAATTACTACAAAAAGTGTTACTAGCGGCCTTTAAATCTCTACTGGTATGTCACGATGTCATAATTAATATGCTCCACTCTTACCAAGGGTTTCCTCTTGGCTTTTTTAATAACAAAAGATAATGCAACATTGGATGGTGTTCTTTTCTTCAAGTACTCACATTCATTTTAGAGTGTATATAATTAAGCTTATTCCTATGCGACGTTTTTGAGGGAGAGGGATAGGTCAGGTACAGTGTATGATTTTGTGGTAAAATGACAGATGTTTACCTTCACAAGCTGGTAGGGGGGAAAAGCCCCAAACTAGCAGGGAAATAGAGAAGGTGGAAAAGATGGATTGGTTTCTAGAACATGCTAACACTGGTTGTGCTGGGGGAAGACATCTGCCAGTAACTGAGTTTTCTGTAGACCCGAACCAAGCAAGTTGCTGAACGTGAAGAGAGTTACCTTTCTGCGTCTGACAGACCCTGCCTTCCCACAAGCGACTGTACCTACTGCACACTATCCTTTTCCAATTCTCAAACCCCTAAAAAGGGGAGGGTGGGGGCAGGGTGGTGGTAAGGACATTCCAGTGTCACCTCCACAAAAGGACGTTCCAGTGTCACCTCCACAAAAGGACGCCACTGAGCTTACAGTTTCCACAGTTGCTTTAGAAGCATCTGGTTTTGGCCAAAATGCTATCACTTTGTGAAATTTTTCAAACTCGATAGTTGAATGCATGTTAGCTTGGGCGCATGAAACCATGCAGTTGGTGCGAGTCATTAGTGAATTTGCGAATGCTTCTTGTATTAAACTTGGTATGATATAGTCTGTGGTTGCTGCAGTAGTTAAGCATTGCTTCCTCAATTAAAGCTTGATTATTAACTTCAGATTAAAGGATGAAATACCATATAGACACTTGCAAGTTCAGCTCATATGATATAGCTGGACCAAACAAACAAGCCGCTACTACATGTCTTAATCCATAGAGATACCACTTGTAACTGAAGGGTGTTGCAGTAGTACATCCTGCTTCAGGAGGATACAAGTATTGGTGTGAACTGTCATATCTCACAGTGAACTAACAGTCTGTTTTATTTGGCAGTGTTTGTTGTAGTATTAGAGATTGCTTCAAAATTATAAATCCAGATATTTCTGTGTGTAAATAGGGCCACTGAGTCGGACAGCAGATGCCTTGGGGTAAAGCAGAAAGCCAGGCAGTTTGGAAGTTTTATAAAAGGAACATGAGCATAGAGTTGAATAACAAAATACGTTCTGTCCCTCTGGGCAAGTTCCCCAAAACGGCTCTCCAACCAACTGCTGGTTGAAAACCGACAGATCTGAACAACTGTGGGTCCCCTCTGCCCCCCCGCCCCCATTTTCATTAAATGAGCAATTGCACATTAAGATATTTAAAAAGGTGCTCTCCCCCGCCTCCTTAGTGTGCACCAGTCTCCATGTTACAGGTGGGAATTAGTACAATTTGCTCATAACTCTTAAACTGTGTATGTCACATGCATGTGTGTGTGTATAACTGCGTACCTGTATCTCGCTGTACGAAGCATCTAGCTGGGTGCACTCCGCTGTTGAGGAAGCAGCGCCTACTTAGAGCAATTTGTAGAGACTACGTGGCTTAACGGGAAAGGATTTAGGTATGTATGCGTCTATGTAGTTAAGCATTTAAACAGAAATATATATCCTGTTTTATGATGTTCTTAAAACTTATGCCAAATCTATGTGCTTTTACATGCCTGGTATCTTGGCCCAAGTCTTCAGCAGGTTTATAAGAGTCTGTATTGCTGAAACTTGCACAGTCACTGAACCGAGCTGGCGTGTGCCTAGAACCGGTCTGACTTTGCAAGGACCAGTCAGTGTAAAATCAGCTTGTCTCCCTACTGCTTTGTTGGGGTGTCTCAGTCTGATTCAGCTGCTCATGCTGGGTAGCTTCACTTCTCCTGTTTTAAAACAAACCAACCCAAACAAAAAACCCTTTCTTTTCTAACATGTATTGTCATTTCTTTGCTAGCCCAAAGAGGCTATATGAGTTAAATATGCATCACTTAAAGGTTGACAGACTGTATTTCCCCTCTGTGTATTCCTATAAGACACTGAGAGACATCAGAAATGATGAGGTGCCTGTAAGATGGTGACTTTTAAATTACTTATTTGGTGAATTGTTACCACAAATGGCAAGAGATGGTAGTTGCTGATGGTGATTTTCTTGATTTCTACATATAGATGGGAAATAATTTAACCTGTTAAATTAGGAAAGGCTTCTGTCAGATTTTGCTACCACTTCTAGCAGGCTTTTTTCTTTTATGTGCTTCTAGGGAAAAGATTCGTGACACATGACAGTCAGCACCATGTCTGAGACGAGGCTGTTGGTCTGAATGACCTAACTCAGCGGCAGACTTGCACAGAAGTACGTTCAAGCAAATAGCTAACATCAGATCTGCTTCCTTCTCAGGTAACCTTGAGTATCTGTCCCCTTCTGCCTCTGTGCCTGCGGTTTTATTTCTCCTTCTCCTTTGCCGGAAAATCCAGAATTCATGGAGCTTCTGCAGCTGGGGCATTGAGCAAAGGCAACAAGCGCGAGGGTCCAGGTCGCGCTAACAATGGCTTGTGCGCGTGAGCGCCTGCCTGCTGATCGCTTCCCTGCTCGTTGGGTGTTCAGGTTTCTTTAATCCGCTCTCTCTTGCGCAGCGCTGTGAGTTGATCGAGCGAAATACGTTGCCTGTCTCTGTGAAGGTAGCCATATTTGCTTAAAGGACAAATTTGGTAAAGGAAGAGGGAATCGTTTCTTTGGATGAAAAGCACCTTCCCAGACAGCCTCAGAGGCGCGAGCAGTGAGGGGTTTCAGCCTTGAGCAGTTCAGGGATTCACACGTGAGTCCTCACACTCACCAGGAATTGCCTGTTCCCAAAGCTGTCCTTAGGCTGGTTTTGAAGTCTCGGGTATGCCTGGGCTGCTTTAGCAGGCATTTTAAAAAGCATTATTGTAAATTGACTGATAGTATAGTTTTACATTGCAATTATCAGACCATTACAGATGTCTTGTGCCTCAGGATATTGATTTGAGTGTGACTGCTCTACAGTTCTCCAACTTACTCCATATTCCCATATAACTAAACAAGCTCTGTCAAAAGCTAGGGTGAAAAAAATCCATTTATTTGCTGACATCTAGGACAAGACCAATAAAAATGCTTTCAAAAGTGACTTCTGTTCAAAGTGAAAGTATGCCTATGCCTCGTGCCTAGGATGTATAGTCCCTTATGCAAAAAAAACATGACTGATGACAAATTTTGATTGCTCACAAACTCTTAAATGAGTGTGATTTCACACTATGTGACTAATACTAAAGGTACAAAACCATCAAGTTCCAAAGAAATGAAATACACATCTTAGAAAAATACATATTTTTGTCAATTTGGCTCGTTCAACTACAAGCTTTCTCAAGGATTGTCTAAGCTGCTTTTGGTGTCTCTTGCAAAGTTGACAGTTAAGAAAAATTTTCCTGTTTTTTCAAGGAAGTTCCACAGAGAGATGAAAACCTGCTGAATAATTCAAGTTGTTAGGAAAGAGATTTACTTCAGATGTCTGTAGTAGTCGACTTTTTTTTTAAGCCCATGAAAAATACTAAAATTTCCTTACCCGACATGATTTTCATAGGTTTGTATGGTAGCTTTGTTTTAAAAACAATTACTCCTTTGCCTTAACCAAGATTCTTCCCAAATGAGTGTTTTATGACCTGAAGAATTATTGTGGTAAAATGTTGATGTGCGACCAACACATCAACAGGAAAATACAAAGCTAGAGGCAACTTTCCATTACAGGGAAAACGTGCAGTAATTTCAACTGTCAACTTTTTAGGGAAGAATAATTGAAGATACAGGTGATTACATGACTTCTTGCAAAAACAGAATTAAAAAGAAATTGTATCCACATGTCTGCTGAATTTGGAAGTCCCCTAGGAGCATGTGGGAAGTACGTACTGCAACGGTCAAGTGCTACAACAAAGGAACAGTATATCATATTTTTCATGTGCCAATTACAGACAAGTTTTGGAGATCAAGAAAATTTAATGTAACTTCAACCTCGGGTTGTGCAAGCTTCCAAAACGGGACTTCTAAGGGGAAAAGCAGGTACGTTGCTAAAAAAAAAAAACAACAAAAAAACAAACAAAAAAAACCCAAAACGAAACACCGAAAGGAGAAAACAGCACTTGCAACAAATTCACTTTTCTGTGTTTGAGGTCATTACTGAGAGAAATGGTAGGTATGGAAAGTACAGGGTGTTGGGATTTTTCTTTGTCCAGTGAGCTGACTGAAGTTTTAAGATAAAATTTTATATGGTTATTTGTTTTAATTGAAGCCTAGTAACATGATTTGCTTTACTGTCTCTGCTCTGTTTGAAAGGTATTGGGAGCAAGTGCTTTTTCGTGTAAATGGTGGTTCTTTTGACAAAATAGAACAATGGCTTCTTTAGTACTCTGACAAATACTCAACAATGTGGGGTTTTTTTAAAAAATTACCATCTTGAGTCATGGCTTTTTTTTTTTTTTAACTTGAGTAAGTGTAGGATTAGTTGGTAGTTCACAGAGGCTTTGCCATCAAAAGGAGGTGGTAAAACTGACCAGGCTGTAGTGCAGTAGGCACTACCCTTTCTCGCTTTCATACGGAAGTATGGCATACGTGATCGTGGTGTCATTCGGCTTCAGAATACCTAATTAATTTCAACCAAATCTGGCAGACCTCACAGTCACTACATTTTTGGAATATTTTCTTTTAAATGTGGAGGTGAAAGAGAGATCAGAAGAAAACTGCATTCTGTACTGATATCCAGTAATGCAGATAAGGCAGAGACATTTATGAGTTTCCAGGCATGAGACCAGCTTCAATTAGAGCTTGTACCTTAGACACAGAGGCAATTAATCACAGACATAAATCCATAGGAAAGCAGTCTTTGTTAGTTCCTGTGTTCCTGGAACAGTGTTTTTGAATAGATGCCTGGTACAAAGGTAGGTAGAAGTAGCAGACCTCCAGTCATCCCTTCAGATGAGTTATATAGAGAACTTGACTGGTTTTGGGGTTGGGGTTTTTCCTGGTTCATGTGAAATTTGCTGCAAAAGCAAAAATGCTGCTCACAAGACT